GTTTTGAGTTTGTTAAGAGAATCTAGAAATAATAACTATGTTAATTATATATATTGATTGTTTATTTATAATTTTTTTTCTTTTCAAACAGTTTATTGCTTGAGTAAATTTATTAGTAATAATTTTGTAAATAGAGTTGTATAGGATATAAGTATTAAACTAATATCCTAGAAAATGAAAAAAGCAGTTTAGCTAAACTACTGTGATAGTTGTATTGTTGAAGATAGTATTGTATAAGTTATAGTTATTATAAGCTACTACTAATACTGATTTAGATAAATTAATAGTTATATTAGCAAGTATATAGAAGAAGGTTATGATACTTATGATTTGTTTTAGTATTTGTTTGTTGAATACAATTCATAATATATTATCTATATAAGCTAATACCAGTTAGTCAAGTAAAAGATTAGATGAATTTGTTATATATAGACTTCTAGTTTGCATTATATATTCAGAGTAGTTGTTATAAATATAGATAATAAGAAAGTTATAGAATATACATCATAATATAGATATGATAGTTTTTTTTTAATCTAGTTTGTTATATATAAGTAGAAGTCTGTAAGTTCTAGATTTGTAATGATATTGTTGTTATAGTTTAAGTAGATATTGATAATTGGATTATATATAGTTTGTAGAATTTGTAGTCAAAGAAGTACTTTAGATAAAAGTTTGATATTTACTAAATTATACGCCTTACTCATATCTTGTGATAAGAGCTATAGCTCTTTTTTGTGAGTATATATATCTTTAAGAATATTTGTTAGAATTTGAATAGGTTTGCTAGTTGAGATATTTGATAATGCTATAAAATTATTAGAATTTAGTATATTATATTTAAATAGTACAGTACTTAGTTGATAAGTAATGATTTTTGTGAAGATCTTTTGAGTATGTTTAATTAGTAAGATTAGTCTAGTATAGTTTAATTAGTCTGTAAACTTAAGTTTTTTTGAAACTAGGAATATATAGCTATTTTTTCATAAAGTAAAAATTTGGTTTAGATCTAAACATTGGTTAAAGAGATATATAAGAAAATTTAGTAGTTTTGGTTTACAATATTTTAATATTTCATTGAAGATGTGAGAAGAGCTTATTGCTTTGTTGTTAGGTAAATTGTTAATAATCTGAGTAATTTTTTATATTGTTATTAGTTTAGTAGTTTTATTATACTAGTTTTTTTAATATATTTTTTAAGTATATATTCTTTTTCTTAGTTGTTCTATTTATTTATCTTAGTTAGATTTTCTTTTATCTAGTATTCATAGTATTTTTTTATATATGCTTTAATTAGAGCAGAGTTTGTGATTTGTGTATTTTCAGTTGCAATTCCTTAAAAGGTTACTGAATCAGTTTAGTAGTCAAGAATACTATTGATTATTAAAGTAGTATTAAAGTTAATGTTTGTTAATTTGATTTTGTATATTTTTAGTAAGTATTTATCAATTTTCTAAATTTTTAGCCTTATATAGAGTATTGTGATATTGCTTAAGAATTAGGATTATGTTTGATAAGTTAGTAAATATAGTATTAGTTAGTATAAATGTTTGAATCTCTAAGTCTGTTAAGATATTGATTTTGTTTAGTTTAGCATTAATATTATTATACAGTGCTGACTACAGTACTCAGAGTACTATTTCAAGAACTATCAAATTTCTTGAATAGTACTCACTCAAATACTAATTATGGGTGAGGATATATAAGTATGAGGATACTATATAAGAGGAGTACTATCATAGAAGAGTTTTTTACATAGCTATAGTTAGCAATATTAACTTCAAAAGTCGAGTCTTTGTTAAAGCTTAGTTCTAAGTTAGACTTGAAACTTCAATTTATATTTGTATGTATATTTAGTATATTTAGATTTATTATACGATTTTTTAAAGATACTAGATATATATGCAAACACAAGTTAAAGTCTATACTTAACTTGAAACCAAACTTTAACAAAGACTTAACTATTGCAGTCAAGTTAGAACCAGACTAGATCTATATAAAACTTACTTTTATAAAAATAAAAAATTATGATGAAGGCTATAAATATTAAAGGGTTAAATATATATAAATATATATATGAAAATTTCCAAATTTACACATATGTTTATACATAGGTATAAACAAAAAAATTTTTTTATTAAAAAAAAGTAATCTTTTTTAACTTTAGAGTTAGAGTGAGATTTAATATTTTGGCAAGGTTATAGTTATATGCAAAATTTAGCAAGAAATTTTTTTTATTAATATCTCAAAGATGGTTTTATAAATAAAATTTCGAGATATTAGTATTTTTTTAAAAAATTCTTTGTTTTTCATTATACAAAGAAAGATTTATATGTTACACTTGATCTTAAGTTTTAATTGGCTTTTCTAATGAGATTGTGTAATATAGTATACAAACACTAATATATAAATAGCAATTCTCTATATATATATTTATAAAAAAAAAAAAAAAAAATTAAAACTCTTTTTTTTTAATAATAATAGCATGTATACATAGAAATAAGAATTGTGATTATGCTTGAGTAACTAATAAAGAAAGATAACAATGGAATGTATACAAGAAACTTGCTATTCTTGCATATCTTGAAAAAAATTAAAATCAGAATATTCGAGCAATAGCTAGTAAATTTAATATTGAACCAAAACAAATAAAAGACTAGCATAGCAAAAAAAATAAGTTGATGAATATTTTACCTTATATCAAATAAATAAACAAAGAAAAGCGACTAAAGTATCCTGAATTAGAAAATAAAGTTTATAAATAGGTGCAAGAATAAGGTTTAGTGATCTTAGTATAGTGGTTAAGTTGTCGAACTACCATGCAAGAGGTCTAGGGTTCAAATCCTACTGTCGACAGAATTGAATAATTACTTAGACCTTTGTATTCAACTTACAGTAAACTCTGTTCGTTTCTGAGGGTTATAACCCTGTAAATCATATTGCACTAATATTATTCAGATATTGGAAGTGTAATAGAGCATCTGAGGAATATAATATTATATGAATAAATCTTAATAGGATCTACGAACAGAGGATCTGCATAGCAGAAATCCCAAGTTAGATAAAGTAGTATAGATTTCAATAGTCATACTGGTTAACGTTTAATCTAAAAAAGAAAATCTGCATATGAAAAGATTGGCAACTAGGATGTGAGTAAGTCCATTAGGAAATCTGCGTACAAAAAGATTAGTGGAATAGGTACGTATAAGTCTATTACACAAGGTCATATAGCAATACCAACCTAGCTTGGCAGCTAACTAAATTTGGAAGGATCTGTTCTGTATGATATCTGAAGACACAAATGACTTTTGGCAATACTAATCTGAGTGGTAACCAGATTTGGAAGAGCCTATCTTGTGTGATATCTGAAGACACAGATGACTAATCTGGTAGAAACCACAATAGGAACTGGGTTTGTACGAATATCGAACAAGGGTATATACAAGCTAAATTGTAATATAGTATAGCATAGTTAGATACTATAGTATCCTATCACTTAGAGAGTTGGTGAAGAGGTACCTTGTAATAGAGCCTAGACTCCAAATCATAAAGTTTGTAGACTAATATCAGCTCAGGTGTCTTTCAAAAAGAGAAGTAGCATAGAGTTAGACAAAATTTGGTAAAATAAGAATAGATTACGAGTAAGTGTCATAAGGCCAAAGGGTTTAAATAGGTAATATTCAAATAAGTTGTAGGTATAGTAGCTAGTATAGAACCTTCAGGCAGACTACTTAAATTAGACAATCTAAAGTTTTATGTATGGCTAGTTGTACTCTCACAATATGTATCATTTACTTACTATTAATACCAATAAAGTTTCAGCTAATAGTATTTGTATAAAGTAAAAAAAAAAAAAAAAAAAAAAAAATAGGTACAAGAATTATGTCATAAGCAAAAACCTATAACCTGTGTTATAGTTCAAATTAAAGCAAAAGTATTATCCAAAAAATCATTTTATATTACTTAGTATTCTAGAATTACTGAAAGTAAATTTAGTAATAAGTGAGTTGATAATTTTATAATTCATTATAAATTAAATTATCAGTGTCAAACAACTATAGCTTAAAAACTTCCAGAAGATTTATAGTCATAGCAGCAAGAATTTTTAAACTTAGTATTGTATTATCGAATGTAATTTAACTATCTTCTTATTTTAATAGGTAACATAGATAAAATGCTACTATTATTTGATTTTTTTAGTAATACTACTATTAATAATTATAGTATAAATATAGTTTCGATTTGAACTTGTAGACATAAAAAATCATACTTTACTATTGTACTTTTCTGTTTAGCAAATAGAACTAAGCTGCTTCTAGTAATTATTTTCAAGTTAGTTAATATTCTATGATATGTATTTTCTACTGAAATTTTTGTTCATACAAATTCTAAAAGTTGGATGAATAAAGATGAGATGCTCTGGTAGATAGAGAATATATAGAATTTGCAGTTAAGAACATTAATATACTCATGCTTACTTTTGATTTTAGATATATTTTTTGCTCATATTACAAACAGAGTCAAATACTGTTTCTCTGAAAAAAATACTAATTTAGTAGTAATTCTATCAGAATTAACTTCAAAAGTTCAATTATTAGATGTTGTCATTAACAAGTCATTTAAGTCAAGAGTAAAGTTTATATATAAATTTATTATCTCTTAAACTGGTTTAAGTAGTAATATAGTAGAATTGTCCTAATAATTGTCATAACTGAGTTTAAATTTTTGTAACTTACTATAACTTATTATTATTATTTACTATAGTTATAGCAAGTTACAAAAATTTAAACTTAGTTATAACAATTATTAGAACATTTCTATTATATCACTAGTTCTAAGACAAATTTGTTTAGAAGTTTTATAATTAAATTATCAAAATTATATTGAATTATAAGTTATAATTTATTTAAGATTAAATTAATAGTTTAAAGGATAATAATAAATAGATATATAGATATAGTTAATAAATTTATTTTTTTTACAAGTACGAAATTACTATAATGAGTAAATAGCTAATAAAGTTTATACCTTTACTAAAAAAAGCTATATTAAATATCCTGCATATAATTTAATTGCTTAATAAGTACTTAATACCTGAAATAACATAGATCCTACTCTTATTTGTAAATCTTTTAAGTGCTATAGAATTTCTAACTCACAAAATAGCAAAGAAGACTATTTAATATTTGATTATAATCAATTTAATCAACAAACAAATTCTTGTAATTATATATATATACATGAAGAACTAAATAACATTAGTAATAATTTTAGTATCATTATAGAAGAAAGTCCTAGTGTTAATATAGATGAAAATTTGAATATTAGTACAAGTAATAGCTTAAATACCAATATAAGTAAAATCTTAAATGTAAATATTAATTAATGCTTAATACTACAAGTAATCTAAAATTAATATAATAACTTGAATTAGATTTGGTAGAAGAAGTTAACTTAATTAGTAATAAAGATAGCTAAATTGATAGTAATAAATATAACTATGCTAGTGAAAGTAAAGATAATTATATCACTGAAGATAAATATAATTATTATTTTTTTTTTTATTATTAAAGCAGCTTACATTGCCAAAGGAATTTTATTAGAATTGCATTTGGGATATACATTGATAGTCCCTACTGTTTGTAATTATATGAAGAGTGTACAACAAGCCACACGTACAACTTTAGTCATTATCTAATTTAAGTAGTTCGCTGCACAGGCGATTAGACTACTCAATTGGTTCTACACTATGCTGCTATACCTGTAATCCATCTGTGAGTTACCTATTTAAACACTCTGTTCATTAATCTATTCAGATCCAACCTAACATCACCTCAATACCTAACCGCTTAAGTTAGCTAGTTCGTTATGATTTATTTATTCAGAACGGCTTAGGTTCTCTCAGAATACATTGTACCTAATGCATTGTAGATACCGCAGAGCTAGTTAACCTCAAAACATACCTACTAGAGTAGTCTGTATCTATTTTATGAATTTATCTAGCTTAGACCCTTGTAGATATTTGTATAACCCTAGTTTCTACTGTAGCTCTCTACCAGTTTTCTGTATCTATCTTCTCAGATGTTTTACGAGGCAGATCCTTCTAATCTAGTTAGCTGCCAAGCCAGGTTGGTATTACTGATCCTCTCTGTAGAATGGATTTATGCGTATTCCACTCAATTTGCATTTTTCATTGATAGTTTACTTTCTGGATCAAGTGTTAGCTAGTATAACTGTTGAAGGCTGTACTACTTCACCAACTTGGAATTTCTACCATATAGGTCCCCTGCCCATAGATTCTATCAAGATTTATTCATATAATATTACGTCTTGCCAAACATCTCATCACACTTCTAATATCTAGATGATATTAGTGCAATATGATTTACAAGGTTACAACCTCAGAAACGAACAGGGTTTACCATAAGTTAGGTACAAAAGTCCGAGTAATTATTCAAATTCATCGACAGTGGGATTTGAACCTCAGATCTCTTACATGGCGATCTGACAACTGAACTACTATACTAAGATCGCCAGACCTCAAATAAATATAATTATACTAATGAAGATGAAGATCAATTTTTTAGTAATGATAAGGATGATTATTATAATATAGAAGGGATTAACTACATTAATAAATAGAATTTTTTTTTTTTTTTTTTAAATTCAGCAGTCATGCCATTACTTTATTTAGATTTGTTTTCTAATTGAAAACAGCATTAATTAGTTATATACTATCTAATGTCTAATTTTTTAAGCCTTGACTCACCTGGTTATCCTAAGGATACCTATGTGCGATCTGCCATAGTGACCTTTGTCCTATACTAATGTAACTTATACTATGTATAAATTACATATAGCTAATAGGAAGGACGTCACAGCCCATCATGACTAACTTAAAAACCAACTTGCTACTACTTCCTCCTTTACTTCCCTGGCTATACTATCCAACACTATTCTAAGACTAATATTACAATTTTCTGTGTTCTCGTCTACCCTACCACTCACTTTACTTGTTGTAGCTTCTTTTTTGGACCGTTTTTTCCTTTTTTCTACCTGTATGAATTTCTCTTTCCTAGAAATATTTTTCTTTTTCTCCCATGCTTCTGTGTCTTTGCATCATTTTTTCTAGATTTCTTTGTATACTAATTTCATCCAAATATGCCAGAAAAGACTCCAAAATCTTGTTGTCATTCTTTCTGAACCTAGTAGTGCTTGGATTTTTTCCACATCTTCTTTGCATAGAATTCCTCTTATCTATTCTTTCCTTTTTTCCAACTTCTTTTCGTGTTCTTGTTGGAAGATTTTTTGCAGGTCTCCTAGGTTCCAGTTTTCATCTTTCCTTTTATCTTCCTGCAATCATTCCCATACCTCTTTTTCGATTTTTCCTAGTACCTGTTGTGCTTTTTCACATAAGATTAGATGATCTATTGTTTCGTTTCCTCTACTACACCTTTTGCATAAGCTGTTTTTGTATAGATATGGTTTTCTACTATTTAAAACTCTAACTGTTGGGAGGAGGTTTTCGATGCACTTGATCTTGAACAGGCGTAGATGGTTTACTTCAGAATTTTGGTATTGGTTACGGCATCCTTCTAATATTCCTTTGAAAGCTTTCCAGTCTTGTTTCTGAATTCTTGACTGGTGTCCGTCATCATTCTTTTTCCTTAGCCATGTCCATTCTGCTTTGGATGACGTTTGGACTACTCTTTTAATGAATGCCCTTAGTGGAGTTTCAAGATTTATTCCCTTCCATTCAGGTATATACTTTATACTACTATTGCTAATATTGTTTAGTCTCATAGCATAAGCTATTTGCGATCCCTCTTTCACTAAGGTATCTGCTAAGTCGTTATAAATATCACCTGAGTGGCTTTTGATTTTTGTAAATTTCAGTAGTAATGCTTTGCTTTTGCAGACTTTTTGAATTGCACGTGAAAATATAATATTATACAAATAAATTTTGATAAAATATATGAACATGAGGAACTTGTATAGTAGAAATCCTGAGTTGGTAAAGTAGTATAGTTTTCAATAGTCATATCAGTTAACACTTAATTCAGAAAAGAAACTATCACTAAAAAATATAGATCGAGTAGGATATAAGTAAATCTATTATACAAAGAAAATCAGTAACACCAACTTGGCTTAGCAGCTAACTAGATTAGAAGAATTTGCTTTATAAAATATTTAAAAGATAGAAATACAAAACTAGTAGAAAGCTATAGTAAAAACTAGAGTTATACAGATATTGCAAGGATCTAACTCAGATAAATCAGTGAAATAGGTATATTATTACTCTGATAAGAATTGCTTCTGAGATTAATCAAAGCTTTGTAGCTTACAATATATTAGGCAAATGCATCTTGAAAAGATCTAAGTCATATAGTAAATAGATCCATAAGCAAGTTAACTAGCTTAAACAGCCAAATATAGTAGTAATATTAATTTGAAATAGAAGAAAGAGTTAATGATCAAAGTATTTGAATAAGCAATTCATAGGCAGATTGCAGATATAGCAATATAGTATAAAACCAACAAATAGTTAATTATCTATATAACAGACTATTTAAATTAAACAATAACTAAAATTGTATATGTGACTTGTTGTATACTTATCATGTAATTATAAAACCTTAGAGGATTACTATTTCAGTAACTTTATAATAAAATTTAATCAGCTAAGTAGACAGCTTTAATAATAAAAAAAAAAAAATTTAAAATAATAATTTGCTATCACAAGAATATACAAAAATAAATTCAGAATCACAAAAAAAAATTATAAATTCAGAGTTATAAAAGAAGGTTATAATATAAAAATTAAAAACTACATCTTCAGTTCTACAAGTAATAAAGTAAATAATAAGATAATTCAGAAGTTAGATAAGAGATATATTTAGACATTTAAATTTAACTAATATAGTCTATAGTGTATTAAACTTATAAATATAATAGTAATTTCAAAAGATTTTTAATGATAATCTATTTTATTTATAACTTATTTATTTTTCTAGACTACAAGTAAAAAGATTAGTAACATGAAGCAATAAAAGCATAAGCTTGCAAACTTTATAAGAAGTTAAAATATAGCATTACATCTAAGATTATTAAAGCGTAATTTACATCTAAGATTAAATTCGTTTAGCATTAACTGTTATTATGTACAATTAAAAAATTATTTATGTGGTTTTTATTCTCTTTAAATAAATGGTTCTTATTTTTTTTTATTTGTTTTTCGTGCTTTTTATATATATATTTTTTAATGTATTTTTTTTTTTAATAAGATCTTGGATTTTGTTTAAGTTGGGTTGGGATGATGGTTTTAGACTTTGAGTTGTTAGATTTCGTAATAATGCGTCTATTAAAACTATTTTTATACGGCATTAATAAATATAGATTCATATAAAATATTTGTCTTGCGAATCATTTCGATTAATCAATTACAATAAAAGCTGGTGAGCGTTAATATTTAAGTTAATAAGAATAATCATGGCTTTAAAGTTTATACATAGTAATTTCATATAGTTTTATAGTACGTAATATATTTACTACGTATTAATAGTGTAACAAATCGTATAACTAATATTTAAAAAATTGTACCTAAACACTCCATATAATCGTTAAGTAATCCGAATTAATAGTCATTCTATGCATATTTAATTTTATTTGAGAAAACACCTACTGTCTCGTTAACAAGGAAAGTAACGATCTTACATGAGTAAACTCTAATCGTTTATCTATAAGAATGTTCATCATTATAAATATACGGTTGGCTATAAGTACTAGACAATTAGGTTCGGATGTGTTATAGCAAATTTATTACATAAAGTTGATATATCCAGTGTAAATAAATATAAAGTTATTTGTTCTTTGCTCGTTATAGGTAGAGTTCGGAATATAGAGGTTCGGTATAAAGAGAGTCGATTGTACACTATTCTTTTCAATACCAAAAGAAACGCCAGTAGATTACTAAAGAAAATACACATACTATGAACGCTATAGGCCCGTACTTGCGATAAAGAAGTTGCAGATTAAGGTCATGAGCTGTCTTTTTATATTTCTGGGATTCATAACGAAGTTGATCAGAGAGAGAACTCATTTCTTTTTAAGCGATAAAGAAATCCATAAAATAAGAATTTTTTTTTTTTTTTAGAACGAAAACAATTAATTAGGATTCAATCAGAATTATCGTTCATAATTAAAACATTAAAATTAAATTTATTAATAAATAAACTTACTTTCTAACCCTTCGCCGCGCCACAAGACACTTTCCAAATTTTTAGTCATGATATTGGCCACCTCATTCAGTTCGGTATTTAGTCGATCAATATTGTGTTGCGTTCGTGTATTTTGATAAACCTTTTTTGTTTTTTGCATAAACGTATCTGATTATGATCATACCGCATAAGCATTAGTGGTCAACATTGTCAGGGTTTCCAAACCAAACACGTAAATCACGTAAATTCTCAATTCCTCAAAAGGCTCGGATAGATGATATGTACCAAATTTAACAAAAGCATATGGTCTTAAAGTTCTTTTTTCGACCTCGTTCCCGTAACTCATTGAAAATTCTTTAGCAAGTTCTTCCAGGTAGCTAAAAGCAAATTGGCGAGGGTATGATCGCTCGCAAATTGTCATGTAACAAACGCCATTTTGGATAAGATAGCTATGATTGAATACACATAAAAACTTTGCACAAGAATCTATAAACTTCTGGTAGAAATAAAAAGTATTTTACATACTGAAAATAATAACTTCCTGATTCAATTGAACATCTCTCTTCGGAGTTTTCATTCATTTTTTTGAAAAGAAGTTTTGCTTTATTTTTGTAATCTGCAAGTTCAGCTTCCCCGTTCTAGATGAAAATAATGGACAATTAGTATTAAATATTAGGGTTTTTTTAAAAAAAAATTAAAGCTCGCACCAGACGAAGTATATTTTGTTGCTTTTACGCCCTTTTTATATAAATTAGGAGCAAGATCGTCCTTACCTGATCATCGTCCACTGAGGCCGCTAACGGAAGGCCTAACGACGAAATTGGCTATTTTAGTATTTTTAAAGGAGATGAACAAGCTTCAAAATAATTACTTGCCATCAGAAATGCGAGCAATAACTGTATGTTTAACCATTTTTAAGAGTCAAATATTTATATTATTGCAAAAGTTGAAAATTTAATAAAAATGTTGCTTTAAATAGAAAATTGAAGTAGATGTCAAAAAATGATTGGTTCCGTCTAATTTATATTAAAATAAAATCACCAGCACAGGTCTCGCCGAGAATCGAACTCGGATCGCAGGATTCAAAGTCCTGAGTGATAACCATTACACCACGAGACCAGAACATGGGTTTAGTGTTGATTTTAATTTTATTGAATAAATTTTTTTTTTTACGAGAATAATTTCTGTTAATCACATGATAAGAGCGTGAAATTTTTTGCATAAGTCAAATCAAAAACTTTTAATCCATCTTCCTTCTTTTTTTCGAAATTCTCGACTATCAACATGAAGTAAGTTCTATTACATCCATTAGTTAATTAAATTAAATGTCTAATTCTTCTTATTTTGACGAAAACCTTTTTTTTAACAAACTAGGATCGAGAGTGATACTTTCTCTGGTAACAAGATCTACCCAGGCAAAGGCAAACTTTATGTTCGACAAGATAATAGGGTTAGAATTATACACTTTTTCAGACCTGTTCAATTAATAAAATAATAGATTTACAATATGAGTTGTACATAACGAAAATATTAGGAAAAAAAAAAAAAAAAAGGATTTAAATTCGTTGCACCCACTCATATGTAGTGATCAAATTAATTCTAGATTTGCCGATTCGTCGGATCAAAAACCGAATCCCTATTCCTCCAACGATTGAATCCACGCAAAATTAGTTGGACCCAAGTATATCGTCGTATGCACAAAAAAGGTATAACAGAGGAAATTGCGAAGAAACGTACCCGTCGTACGGTTAAGCATCAACGAGCAGTTGTTGGGGCATCGTGGGAAGTCATTAAGGCTAAGCGTAATCAGAAGCCCGAGCTGAGAGAGGCCGCTCGTGCCGCTGCCCTTCGTGAAGCAAAAGAGAAAAAAAAACAAGAACAGTCGAAAAGGAAAGCTGAAAAAGCTAAGGTTTCTGTTTTTAGGATTCTATTTTTTGATTTAAATTGATTTATTTGTATTGAGGTTAATATGCGTATATTTGTTATTATATATATTTATTTATTTATTTATCTAGACTGCACAATCAGCTTCTCGCGGACAACCTAGAATTTCGAAACAGCAGGCTCGTGGTGCTCAAGCTAAAGTATCGGCTAAGAGTCGCTAAACCTATTAGAGATTCAACTCAGAAACCGATATTTGCAATAATACTCTAAGTTAAAACCTAATGCACAATGACTTTTTTTAAATATTGCTATTATCAAAATCATCTCTAATAAAAGTTGGTAGAATACTCAATTCTATTCAATCCTAAATGTTTATAATTATAATAAATTTATAAAATTTCAGATAGGTTAAATTTTAAAAAAATCTATGTTAAAACTTGCGAAAATAAAAAAAAATTGGTAAATTTTTTATAAATAATTTATTTAATATTTTTGTTAATTTATTACTAATATAAGTAATTAGAATTAATCAAATTAATAATTGTAATTAGTTTATGCTAAGATTTTAGATTTTTATTAAAATCTATAATACTGTACTTGCTAAATCTACATATAGCCTTTTATTAATAAATTTAACAAAAAAAAAAGCTCAAAAAATTTTTAAAGTTTTTTAACATAAGTTATCAGTATCTATTTTTTTATAAAATTAAATTATTTAAATAAAAAGATATTTAATAATTGTATATTTAATAAAAAAGAAGTTCTACATACAATATAAAGAATAGAGTAATTTAATACGTACAGTCAACCTTGGCTATTGTCACCCTCGCTATAGTCACAATTTAATTATAATCATATAAAATATTTTTAACCTCGAGTTGCAGGCATAACTTGGTGTCATAACGGCAATGCCGTTACACAAGCCGGTTGTAACTCGTAATGGCATACGGCAAAAGTTGTGTCGCAACCTAAATGATAATTTCAGGTGATATTTTTTTTTTTACCAATCAACTCTTTTTATAATAAGACGTAGAATTTACATTACAAAATTTTAATAACAGGTTATCGTTATACAGTTTATTCTACGTATTAACTTATTAATCATTTAGTTGTTCTAAAAATCGAGCCACCAAATCCTCCGGTGAATAACTCATATTTCTGGCTTGCAAATTGTAGTCATCGTTGGTATCTAACATTTCTCTTTCACCTTCTTCTAAATAATTTTGTGTCAAATCTACAATATCGTCAATTACTAAAGTTTCTTGTTCTATTTCAGCATAGGACAATTTATCGGAATCAACCATATCATCGTCACTCTCCAAGGCCATTACTTTAACGGTAATAAAAAATTTTAACCGATTTAAGTATGATAATCAAAATCTAATCTGGGTTAAAATATTTTTTATACATAGACATATCTTTCCAACAGTCGAAGAATTCACAATTTCATGCAACTCTGCTTCGGTAAGTTCTCTTTCATAATATGTTAATTCTGATTTGATATTAATCATATAATATGATCAGATTTTTGATATACCTTCAAGTTTACTAACACCTAATCTTGTTCTTCTATCTCCAATTATCTATTTTAATACAGAAAAATTTTGCTTACAATTAGCTTGTATTGGAGGAATAGAAAATAACTAACATGCTAATTCAGCTAAGTGATTAGGTTTTGTTTTAATAGAAACTTACTATAAAATTAGTGTATCTATTTTGGTATAAGGTAAATCGAATAGTGACAATTTTGTATCAAAAAGTTGAAGTTTAGTAATTAATTTTCTATTTTCTTGTTCTGTATGTTTTAGACTTTTCCACAAAGAAGTAGTGATAAGTATTATCTCTTTAAACCCACCATTCTTAAGCTTGAAGCTATGATAATTGGGATAAATATAATATAATAAAAGGTAAATCAGATATTGAAATTCTTTAAATCATTAATTAAATATATTAATAGTTATGACTTTAAAGAGATTTGTTGTTAGAATTTGATTAATTCTAACTGCAAGTTTAATTAAATAATTAAAACAATCAGCTAAATCAGCATTATTAGCTTCAAGAGCATAAATAATTTCTTTAATTAGAGTTCAAATGCTTTTAACTTGTTAATAAGTAGAAAAAAATTTATCATTATTTAGTAAAGAACAAATATCTTTATTGGTAATAATTTTAGAATATTCAGTTAAGATCTAATTAAATATAGGATAAGCTTGAAGAATAGAATCAGTAGTAAAAAACAATGATGTCTAATATATTTTACACCATAAATGAAGATCTTCAGAATTAATTTTCATTTGGTTTAAACTTTGCTGCAAATATAAACTACTTCTATGTAATTCTTTAAAAAATTTTATGATTTTATTATATTTACTAATAAAGGTTTTATTTTATTTTATTTTTAAACTTAGATGATCTTACCCTTTATTTTATTAGGCGAATATCTTAAAGACATTTAGACAAATACAAAAAAAAGAAAAAAATTCCAATTTAAGGTATGCTCGCCTTGTTGCAATTCCGAATTCACTCAGCTGTCTAGATAGTATCTAAGTGCAATCTGTAGCAGCAGCATAATTTTTCTCCTAAAACTAGATACATAACTAATATGTCTACCTAGTCTCGATCAAAAGAAGGCTACTATCAGCCTGTATTAAGACTGCCCTAGCTAGACTATTTTATCTTTAATTCTAAATACTACTCTAAAAAAAAAATAGAATATAATCTAACTAACGTGAGAAAGAAATAAAAATTGTATAAGATTTGAGTAGCAATGATCTATACTAAATATCTAGACTATAAAAAAAAATCTGCTTCAGGTTAAAACAAAATAGACTAGATATATAAAACAAAATAAAGAGAAAAAAGAAAAAACAAAAACAAAAAATAAGGTAGTATACTATACTGCTCCCAGTATAGCTCAGATAAAAATTGTATATAGCTACTCTCTTATATTTTTTGCTATAACTTAAAAAGGTCTAATTTGTGTCTAAAGGAGTTTACTTCAGAATGTAATTCTGATGGCTGTCTATACAGATTTCTTCTAGCATATGCTTCAGCTAATACATGTTTGTTTATGTATATTTGAATGTAAATAGGCTAATTTCCAATATAGTTTGTCAATCAGTAGATCTTTTAAAAAGGAGTAACTGATTTCCCCAATTTGCCTCAAAAAACAACGAAGCCAGTAAAAGAGAAAGTCTAAAAGATGTATTCAGTAAAACCTTACTTGTAAAGTATATTGTAATAACTATAAGACTGTATTACTTTAGAGGAATATAATAATAGAGCAAGTATATGTTTGTTTTTCATAAACAAACAAAAATACTTAACAAAAGCTCCTGACAGTGCTACTTCTATTCAAAAGTTTCTAAATATATAATACAGGTCGCAACTTTAAGACAATATTTTTCAAAAGCTATGAGTTGAATATTTTAATTTCACTGTATTACTAAAAGGAGTTGTGTATCCTTTTGTTATATTTTCTAAATTTTCCCACAGGTCAGTATTGCTCTACATAGGTTCAAGTAATCATTAGGAAGAGTTCACTAATAAAAGTTTTAATATTTTCTAATTTAACTAGATTAGAAGTAATTAAATTAATCATATATGCTATGTAATGAATATCCTAAATATGTGAGTAAGTTTTTTGAATTTTTCTATAGGCATATTTGCAATTTTTGCTGTATTAATTATTATTGTAGTGAAATTTTTACTTCTGATATTATTAATTAAATTAAAGATTTCATTTGTTAGAAATTCTCTTATTTGTGTTTCTGAAGAATAAATTTTAGAGCTATAAAATATCTTTTTCTATCTATTGTAGTTATGATATAATTATAAAGTAAATTACCATATAGTAAAGTCTAACTATTCAGAATAAGAGTAAGATTATTATATAATTTAAGCTCTTTATTGATATTATTTATTACTCATATAATTTCTTTATTTAATAGATATTCTGAAAATGTTGTTTGTGATAGTAAAATATATCTCAAATTTAAATTTTTTAGAAAATCCTTCATAAAAAGATTTTCTATTACATCAAACAAAATCCTAGCTATGATCTAAGCTTTAAGAAGAGATTGATCAATCTAATTATTAATATCACAAGGAAGAGGTTTAGGTGAATACTCAGAAATATTTTGAGTATAATTATTAATTTTATTAACTAATATTTGTTGTCAATAAATACTAATTTCCAAAAATAAAATTAGCAACTCTTCCTATCGATTCTCTGACCACTTTTTTTTACAATAATCTGACCTGTGAAAAATTTTTTCTGCTATAACAAACAACAATATTCTTCTTTTTAAGCTTTTTATGATATATTGTGAGTAAATAACTCCTTTGTGTGAGCTCTTTTTAGCCATGTTATCTAGATATAACTCCTGGACACTATAGAAAAATAGTAGATTACAAGAAAAATTGTCAAATACCTCTGTTGTTCTAAGTGACACTCACTAGTAGTCTGCTAGTATAGGAATAGCTAGTACAACAAGTATTTGTACTATTTTTAATAAGAAAATAAGTAGCAAAATCTTCTTCTCCTAAAAGTAGCCTCTTCTGATATTATCTTTTGGATTTTTTCTCTAACTTATTAGTATTTTTTAAGAGATTTGGCTTACCCTCTTCAAAAGATCTGCAACATGTATCAACAAAAACAATTGGGTATTGGTCTGTTGTTTTCCATACTGTAAACAAATAACAAACACATATTTGGCCAAACACATATTATAGAAAACCTAAGTTGTTAATATTCTCTTTGTAATACAGTATCTCATTTCTTTAAAAATTTAAAGAATAACTTAAGTATTATATATACATAATTTTTACATCATTCTGTAAAAAACATTAGTCTCTTTTATTTCTGTTTTTGTTGTTTAAAGATTTTTACCTGTAGCAGATTTTTTTTATTCAACTATATAATATAACATGTAATCTTGTATCTTTCGTTATATACATAATTTTTATTTTCCCTCTTCATAATCTACTCACCTTGGATTAGTTTAGTATAGAATAGAAGGTAACCAAGAGGTTCTTGACTAGGCTGTCAGCAGACCATTAATGAATTGAATTGTTTTATATATTGAGCACAAAGCTTTTCGAGAAGTAAACTTGCTAACAAGTCGATCATATTTAGAGCCATATAGGTATCTGAGTAAGTTTGAAATTGTAATAATAATTTACTATGTATATTTAGTTGAACTCATTTATATTAGTGATAGTTACTTGTATTATAATATAAAGATAAAGTCTTCTGTATATTTAGTTTAGCTTTTGTATTTATATGTATAGTTTAGCTTTATATGTTTATATTATAATCAGTATTAAATGATAATAAAATAAAAAGCAAGATCCTCTTGTAGAGAAAAAAAATAAGTACTAATTTCATTAGAACAATCTTGTAATAATTTGCTAGATAAGCTTTTATTAGATAAGGTCTACTACATGCTTAGAAAGAATTATAGTAGTAGCATCTTGCTTTATAATAGCCTTGTTCTTACTTTTATCTTTAATAAAAATAACAAAATTTTATTAAAATTTAGACTACTAAGTTTTCATTTTTTATTGAATTAGCTATCATTAGAAATATTAGAGTTATTAGAGATTATTAAACTTTTATGATTTAAACTTATGATTAAAATATGTTTTATTTTAAAAATAGAAATTTTAAATATTTTTTTTTTATAACTTTGTAACAAAAAAATTATATTTAATTTAATAAACTATATATTATAATAATAACTACATTTAGAAGATCTGGTGATCTTAGTGTAGTGGTTAGATTGCCAGACCGCCATGCAAGAGGTCTGGAGTTCAAATCTCATTGTCGACGAATTTGAATAATTACTCGGATCTTTGTATCCAACTTACAGTAAACCCTATTCATTTTTGGGGTTGTAACTCTGTAAATCACGTTATACCAATATCATCCAGATATTGGAAGTGTGACAGGATATTTGGTGAGACGTAACATTACATGAATAAATCTTGATAGGATCTATGAGCAGAGGACCTGTATAGTAGAAATCCTGAGTGGTGAAGTAGTACAGCTTTCAATAGTCATACCAGTTAATGCTTGATCTAGAAAGAAAACTATAATCAAAAGATGCAGATCGAGTCAGGTATGCATAAATCTGTTCTACAGGGAGGATCAGTAACACCAACCTGGCTTGGTGGCTAACTAAATTGGGAGGATCTGCCTCGTGAAACATCCAAGAAAATAGAATACAGAAAACTGGTGGAGAGCCACTGTAGGAACTGGGGTTGTACGAATATCTACAAGGGTCTAATCTAGATGATCCTGTAAAATGGGTACTGGCCGCTCTAGTAGGTTTGCTTCGAGGTTAACTGGCTCTGCAATACTAGCAATGTGTCTGGTATAGTGTATCCTGAGAGGACCTAAGCTGATTTGGGTAAATGGATTCATAACGAGCTAGCTGGCTTAAGCAGTTAGGTGTTGTGGTGACGTTAGATTTGGATCTGTATGGGTTAATGAACAGAATGTTTAAATAGGTAACTCACAGGCGGGTTACAGGTATGGCAGCATAGTGTAGAACCAATCAGGTAGTCTAATCGCCTGTGCGGCGGACTACTTAAATTAGACAATGACTAAAGTTGTACGTGTGGCTTGTTGTACACTCTTCATGTAATTACAAACAGTAGGGATTATCAATGTATAATTCTGTATGCAAATACTAATAAAATCCTGTTGGCAATGTAAGCCGCCTTAAACAATAAAAAAAAAAAAAATAATAACTACATTTAATTTAATAAACTATACATTGTAATGATAAATATATTTAATTTATATAATAATAATAACTATATTTAATCTAATTAACTATACATAATCATGAAAATTCATATCATAATAAATAATATAAGTGACATTAAACAATTTACTACTTAAGTTACTACTTAAGTTATAACTTGTGTCATAAATTATAATCTATGATATAGGTTATGATCTTTGACATAAGTTATGACCTTTAATATAAGTTACTACTTATAGTATTATGACAAAAACTATAATAGTTATAGCAAAAGTTGTAACTGCTACTACAGAATTATAACTGCAACTCTATTTTAATCTAACTATAAGCACAACCCTTATTATATTTTGGCCTAAAAGTATAATTTAGCTAGAGTTAACTATATCTATATTATTATAAAATTTTAAGTTTATTTTTTTTTATACTACAGTATTCTTCTAACACTAAATAATTTTTTAAGAGATTTAATTTGGCACCTACTATCTAAAATTTTATGCTTAACTGTTATATCAGTATTAACT